GCAGCAGCTGGTCTTCGCGGCTCGCTCCCTCCTTCGCGCTCTCTCGCTCTCCGCCGCCGCCCGCAGGGCTGCGGGGCTCGGAGGCATCTCTCGGGCGCGGCCCGCTGTCCTCGCCCCTGCCTCCGGGCCGCTCCCGCCCCTGGCGCCGCTCGCTTCCCCCCACCCGGACTCCCCCATGTATGACGACTCCTACGTACCCGGGTTTGAGGACTCGGAGGCGGTGAGTGCCCACGGCGAGGGTGGGGGTGGGGAAGTTGGGGTGACACCTCCTCTCCCTTCAACCCTTCCCCCAGTTCAGGACTTTGAAAAACGCTTCAGTGGCGGGGCACGGCGTGTAGGGGGGCGCTCTAGGAAAGTGGGAGGTGGATTTTCATGCCGAGGGCTCCCCTGTGGCCCCAGAGCTAGACCCAGGGGCATCGGGTGTGAGCAAGGAGGGGGCAGTGTGGGGGAACAGCTCGAGCAGGTGGCCCTGAAGTCAGGACAGGAGGGGTGAGGGAGGAAGGGCTCGCGGCTCCGGGCACAGAGGCTTAGAGAGGGAACACGCAACGTCTGGAGTTTCCAATTCTGGATTTGTGTGTGGGGTCTGAGCACAGCAGCTAGCGGAGAAGCTGGGGCTCTTGAGAGGGGTGACATTCCAGACCTCTTGCCTCCAGTCCTTGGTAAATTGGAGAGCTGGGAGAACATGGGAGTCAGGTACCAGCCTCTTGAGACAGGGAGCATAAAACTTGAGGAGCTCCATTATTCCTTTCCGCCTCCATCTCTGCGCATTGCCTCATCTCCTCAGCCTTCCTCTAGCCCAGTTTCTCTCCCAGGATGAAACCCGGGCACCCAGCACATGGGTGGGCCAGCTGACTGAGCCCTTCTGTTGCACAGCCCCCTGCCGAGGCTTCCTCTGAGCAGCAGGCGTCCTGACTCCTGCTTAGCATGGAGGTGAGGCCAGAGGAGCTGGGCCTGGGGATGGAGAGGAAGCTCTTTGCTCAGAGAACCAGGCAACCGATAAATATTTAATTCTCCTCTTTGCTTTTATCTCCTGACCCACTGAGACAAATCAGCTCATTAGGCAGTGATTCCCGGAGCTCAGAGAGCAGGGAGAGTGCCTGGAAAGATGGGGCAAGAATGGGGAGCAGCTCCTTAGCCCCTCGGAGCTGCCAGCCTTCCCTTGGCCAACCCACAAGGCGGCCTCCTTAGGAGAAGACCACTGGATGGCTTAGAAAGGGCCCTGGTTCTGAAACGGGCGTATTCAAGGCTTCTTCACCTCTTGCCACCAGGCCGAAGATAGACGAGGCTAGGGCTCAGCATAGGCAACTGTCAGTCCTTTTCTGGGACTAGGCTCCTTCTGGGCCCAATTCTCCATGGGGCCTCTGGGGCTAATTACATTGCGGCTAGAGCAGATGATTTTCAGGGCTCTGGTGGACACCTCTCTCTGACAGTGGAAGGGACAGCTGGTGTAGCCCAGGGTGCCAAGGTGAGCTTGAGAACAAACCTCTCTGTGGAGCTGGAGGGCCCTAGGAGCTTCTTCCCATCCCTGGTGAGAAGGCGAGGACTGTTACAAGGAAAAGGCTGACGTGTGGGTGGTGTTGGAGGGCAGCCTGTTGACCCATGGCTCCCTCCCTGGCCCTCTCTGGTTCCTGCAGCACCCTCCCCCACTTCCCTTTCTCTTGCCTGGCTCCTTGCTCTCCCTGAGGCCCCCTCTGAAGCAGTAGGAGGGAGATCAGGCTCTAAATAAATCCACCGGCTCATCTCCCTCCTCTCCTTCCCCCGTGCCAGGCAAGAGAGGAGCTGCAGCCTGCCCACACACTCACCAGGCAAGGGGGGCACCACCAGGGCACTGTGCCAACTCCTGGCAGCTCCAAAGTACTGAGCCTCTGGCTATTTTGGCATAGCAGGGGACAGGGAAGGTAAGACCCCCAGAATATAGTTGGCAGGGCAGCTGTGGTTTTCTTTTCCAAGTGATACCAGAGTATGAGAGATGGGTGAGCCCCAAGGACTTTGGGGTGTTGGAGAGGGGATTCCATTCTAAACACAACTCATTAAATATTTGGGAGAGATCCCATCATCCTTATCCTAGGTTAGGAAGCCAGGTAACCCAGATGCCTCAGGCATTAAGATAGTCAATTAGGGGTCAGCCTCTTGGGATTGTGGGCGTGCATGCACACACAACCATTCGATTTTCAAGCTGCCATATCCAAAACTTGAACTGTGTAGCTGACTGTGAGATCAAACCACCTTAACTGCTATGCCACCTGACTGGCCTGATGCCTCTGAACTTCTGACTCTATTGTAATGTATGTGGGTTTATTAATTATTTACCTTCATCATAGAGTTCTCTTTCCATTTATATTGGTTCTTTCTCTTTTTTTTAAGAATTATCTATTTTAATTTTATTTATTTTAAAATTATTTTAATTTTATTCATTAATTTGTTTTTAATTTGACCAGAGATAGACATAGAGAGAGAGAGATAGAGAGGGAAAGCGAGAAACCAAGGCACCAGGTCTGGGACTCAAATCATGGTCGGCCATGTAGGAAGTGTCCAGCGCCTTAACTGCCAAGCCACCTACTGGTCCCCTATTCATTCATTTTATTTTAATTTGACCTGAGAGAGATACAGAGACAGGAGAGTGAGAAGGAAAGTAAGAAAACAAGCCACCAGGTCTGGGACTCGAATCATGGTTGTCCATGTGGGAGAGTAAAGCACCTTAACCACCATGTCACCTGCTGATCCCCTATATTGGTTCTTAATGTAAGTAAGGATGACAAATAGGTGACCATATTCTCTGCCTCCTGCAGTTTTGGTAATTCTGGAGTTGGAGGGGTTATCCAACTTTCATATGTTTTTGTGGTATGTTGAAAATGTCTACATTTTGAGGATCAGCACATGGTGTAGCAGTTATGTCACTGGACTCCCAGATGGGCGACGACAGTTCAAGTCCTGGACCTGGTGGCTTGCAACTCACACCGGGCGTATGTGCATGCATGCCCAAAATCCTGGGAGAAGAATGGAAGAGAAGGGACTGCAGTGTGGCCATCTCCCCGGGGGAGTGATTTCTCACTTTCCCCCACTGTCTCTGTCTCTTCTCTCTAGGGAACACATGCACTCTAAGGCAAAAAACAAACAAACATAAAACAAACCAAAAAAACCTCTACAGGGGGTGGGTGGGGGGTGGAGGGATTTAGTTAATTGGCTGAGGGCCTAGAGAGCAGGGAGTAAAGATCGACTCCTTCCAGCACAGTACAGGGCATCCAGGAGTTATTAATGGTGCGTGCCAAAGTAGGTGGTCAGCCTGCCTTGCCTCCCAGCCTGCTCCCCTGTCTGCTTTCTATAGCCAGCCATATCCCACAGAGGTGGCTCTTGTGTCCTGGGACCCTTGGGAAGAAGGCCCCCCACCCTATATGAAAGTTCTTTTGGGGGCTCAGCTTCTTTTTTTTTTTTTTTTGAGAGGTTTTTGCTATAGGGTGCGTGCGCTCACCAGACAGACAGAGAGAGACAGAGAGACAGAAAGTGAGAAATCACCCCCCAGGGGGGATGGCCGTGCCGCAATCCCTTCTCCTCTTGGGATCTTGGGCACGCACGTACACGCGCCCGGCATGAGTTTTAAGCCACCGGGTCCAGGACGTGAACCGCGGTCGACTACGTGGGAGTCCAGTTACATAGCCATTATGCTAACTGCTGGTCCCAGCTTCTTTATTCTGTTACCAAGGCAGCCTTATTTTGCTCTCAGGAGAGATGGGCAACATCAGGCAGATCCCTCCTGTAAAATCAAAAACTTTTCTCTCGTGCCATCTTCATGCCTTTGGTCTACTCTAGATGTCATCTTCTGCTTAGGCTCTAGGTCCTGCGCTGACGCCAAGCTGATCTGCCCTCTGCCAAGGTGGGGCTGGGGCAAGAGGCACGGTGGACAGCAGATGTGTGATTTCGTCTTCCCCGAGAGTCTGGCCTGGGCTGCCTTCTGAACCTGGTTGCGCACAGGGGCTTGTGGGAATGTCCTCAGCCTGAGAGCAGTCTAAAGGCC